CCACTCAACCCGTTAATCACAAAAAACATAAGGGGGAGTCAAAGCATGTAATTACACATTTAAATTACCATCATTTACAAATATACTCACTCCTTACTTGCACAAATATTTTGATCTTGCACAGATATCTCAACTAAAAAGATATCACATGCACTAGAGCCTAAAATACACATTTCAATACTCAATATTTAATTGTGCAAGTATAACAAAATATGAACATTTTAATTGGCAATATCATGACAATTACACATTAATCAAAAATAATTGAGGCATTACAGTAGGAAATTTAATTCTTAAATCTCATATGCCTTTCCTTTGTCTCGACCAAAGTTAGCACCTATAAATGTTAAATAAAAGGGTGAGTACAATCATTCAGTAATCAAAATCAATCTAACCTATATAGTTACATATCAATCAATTATAGATGCAAATAAAAATTAAATAACTTCACAAGCATCATATACATATTTTACAATAGCCTCAACCATAAAAGTAACAACTATGCGACCAGGCACTAATGCATATTGTCAATTTTATTTCAAAAACACATATCTTGGGATCATAATAATAACAATCATATGCCCTTAATGAAAACATGCCGGACCACATTAATAACAACCATGTGGTTGGAAGTAGAATGCATAATCAATGCCAACCTTATACCTTTCTGATACCTCCAACATTAAATTAGTGGCTCTTTAGAGGCTACATCTAAAACTCGAACTAACTAAGATTTCTACTCGTGATGAGCTATCGAGCTAAGGTTAACTCACTTACTTATGTTACACGATTTTTTCCAATACCGATAACCATGAGGTATTGTATCCCTAATCTAGCCTCCTTATAAATCGGTAGAGACTAATTAAGTTTGAATCTCTTAAAGAACAAGTAAAACAATCCCGAATCAATTATAGGACAATGGCCACCTCTCGATTCCAGTGATTGATGCCAAGACAAGCTTTCGATTCCAGCAGTAAATTGCCATTACCACATGGGTTTTCCAGTCTACTCCTCCCTATAAGCAAACTCCTGCCATAATGATCATGCCATGCATAAATAATATGATGTATGCCATTCAAATAACAATAATCACATCATATCATGCTCACATAATTCTCTTTCTCTACTATAATCCATATACCACAATTATATTAATCATACTCCACATGACAAATATCACATGTTTATTGATTTCACAATTACATGCTTTCATTCATTAATAATTACATAAATGTGTGTGTGTGTGTGTGTAACATTCTCAATAATTCAATATATCATCTAACAATACATAATTCATCACGTTGCCAACCTTGCATTAATGGGTTCTCGACCACCCAAGTAAACTTTTAAATGAATTAGTTCAACTAATAAATAATTAACATACAACTATACAAATAATATTTTTTCTTGTTACCTTAAACCTTTAAGAGATCAAAGTTTACCCTCAGTCACAACTTGTTTTCTGAGTTAAATTTAAGCTCATCAGTGCTTCGTGAGGTTAATCTATAATTACATTAACACTCATAACTAATAATAATTAAAATCACCACTTCTAACATCTAATTTTATATTTTAATAACCAAATTTCTCAACTACAAGATCAACCTCACATCCAATGAGTTTTTTAATTCCCATTAATTTCATTTAGCTATCAACAACTTAAGTAAGCACTAATATATCATCTACTAACCCAAAATCATTATCAATGTCACAACTTATTCACTTTCAACTCTCAAATTTCAACGTTTTAATCACCAAAACTCTCAACTCATGAGTTTAATCACCATATTAGGCTTATTAACTCCTATTAACTCCAACTAACTTCATTAAACCCATCTACCACTAATAGTAGCTTCCAACAATCCTAACTTTCATCACTAATGGTATTTAAATGTACAAATTTGTCCATAATTGAGAGCCCGCTCTCATGGATGTATAAAACTATTATATATAAGTTTATATAACTCAAACAACTCCCATTAATCCCATTTAGACCAATGGGTTTGAACCCATAGTTCTAGGTTTGAAAATTATCATCTTCCAACCTCAAATCTTACTTCCAAAACGTATAGAGAAAAGAAGAAGGGATAAGGAAGGCATACCTAGGTGAAATCAAACTCCAATCACCTCCAAAATGCCCAAAAGTTGATACCCTAGCAGAGAAAAGACTCTCTCCATCACCATCCCTCTTTTTTTAACTCATTTCTCTCTATTTCAAATGTTTTCATGTTTTTAAAGAAAATAGGTTCTGAAAATTATCTTGTACCGTAAATTTTTATACTGCAACATAATGTAGAGTAGGCTAAAAATTCAATTTTTCTTCACAACTTGATTTAGGGATGCCTAATTCACTTCTAAATCTAATCCAAAAGCTAAAACCAAACCCAATAGTCATCTCTAACTATTCTCAAATCCATTTACATCTGAATTTACACATTTACCCTTCATTAGCTTAATTAATTAAGGGAATAATTTTTAGGATGTTACATTTCACATTCTTCTACTGACCTTGTAACTTGCTTTGTGAAATGCTTGCCAAGTTGGTGCTAGCAGAAGATGTGAAGATTACCACCACTACAAAACTCCATAATCAAGCAAGAGAATTTCTCAGTTTGGAAATGAGAATAAAGGATGGGAAGGAAAGGGTTGTTTAGGGAGCTCACGATTTCCCTTTTAGTTTGAACTTTAGACATCTAATGCCTAGAGTCAACTTTGCCTTGTCCATAACCTTCATTGTGAAGAGAAAGCCCTACCCTTGGCTAGATACATACTTCTAATGTCCCCAGAACCCAACTTTTTCAACAACCTAAAATGTCCCAAACCCAAATCTTCGTCCTTAGTTTTCACGAATTGTAGAGCATCCCATTGATTATCGCTGCCCTTGTGAGGCTTGCAAGGGCAAAAGCTCCTAGGACTTGAATCATTAGCATCACAATTGTTATAGTAATTACTCACACAGCTAGAGATGCTCTTGTAACTTTCATCATAACCATTGGATTCAATGCTGCTGTGAGACTCAACATTGCCATTATTACTCATCTTGGTAATGCTACGCTCTTGGAGGGTGTAAGCGAGAGAATCTAAATCAATGTTCTCAGCATTATTATCAAGTGGCTCGTCCAAGGCCTAAAAGAGATTACTAGTTCACAGGGTATTCGATGAGGGTTATATAAAAATGGAGGCGGTTAAGGCCATCAGTGTGCGTGAGAGAGAGAGAGAGAGAGATGGGAGCTAAGGATGCTGTGGACTCTGATGCACAAAACTTGAACTTTTTACTCCAAAAATTATTTTATACTGGTCTTAGAGAGATTCAATAACTAAACAAAGTTATTTTCCCCCTAAGCGATAAAACTTTATATGATATTGCTCAAGCAAATTATCCGAAAACTGAATTTTTCTATAAATAAAACAAGAGTTGATGTTGAAATTTGAATTTGAGAGAATGAAGGGGTGATGGACCCAAGGACTCTCTTAGGTCGGGGGAGGAGTGTTACAACAGGCAGCATCGTGACAAAACATAGAGGGCGATAGGAGAACAACTGGACAACAACAAGAGGAGTCCAAGAGAGACCCTAATTATGAGGACAGCCAGTGAGAAGGTGCTTTAAATTTTCTAAAAGCTGGAGAGCCAAAAATAATATGAAAGTTTTTTTTTAAAAGAACACCCCAAAAGTTTTACTTTTTTTTAAATAATATTATTCTGAAAATGTTAACAGTGAAGTAACTTTTTCCACTATTAAATTTGGGGAATATTGATAGTTAGAATGAAAATTTCATTAGTGAAATTTCGACATGACCTTTTTTATTGGAATCCCTCTCTCTTATTCACGTTGTGTATTCCAAACCCACTGAAAAAGGAACCATTTTTTATTCTAAACATATTATTTTGTAGAAGAAACTTCCTCTATCAGTCAGCCCGCTTCATTTTTCTAGCTTTCTCACCGACATTCAAAGAAGCGTGGATTTTCTCTTCTTCCTTCCGATCGTATTTCATTCTTTTTCCTTTCTATCCATTAAACCAAGATTTAGACGATTTAAATTTGATTTCCTATAAAAAATATTAAATTATAAAAAATATAAATAATAAAATTCAAACTACTAAAATTTAATAACAACAATTTAGTGCATGTTTTGATAGGCTTTATAATCAATTTTACATGTCAAAACCATTATTTTGTGAAAATATATTTAAATACCCCTATTTCAGGTTAAAATCAATTATGAATCTAAAACCATATTTTTCTAAAAATATCCAAACACTAATTATATATGCCAAAATTAATTTAAAACTCAAAATCATTTTTTTCTTTAAAATATCCGAACACCTCTGTATATATTAAAATCAATATAAATCTAAAAATATGATTTGCAAAATAATTATATGATTTATGCATAAATTTTAAGAAAAGTATAGTTGAAAGTATGAATTGAAAAGCAGGTAATAATAGCTCATAAAATAACCATAGTTTTAAATTTATAGTTGATTTTGGCATCTATGAGGGTGTTTGGATATTTTTAAGAAAATCATAATTTTAGGTTCATAATTAATTTTGATATGTAAAATGATGTTTGGATATTTTTTGAAAACATGATTTTGAAGTTATAATTAATTTTAACATGTAACAGAGATGTTTGGATATATTTTCACAAAATCATAGTTTTACTTATTTTCAATTTTTCTTTTCAATTTTATTTTTTAATTTTAATTAAAATCAATCTTATTAATCAATCATATATAGCACATAATATAATCACTTATATTCAAAATTAGTCATATTAATTAATTTTTTTATAATTAATTATATCCCATTAAAATCTAAACGCACCCTTAAAAATAAAATAAGATGAAATATTTTGAAGGGGATCAAAACTAAGTTATCCAAAATCTTAATTTAACGGGTAGAAATTAAAATGAGAATGGGAAGGGGGGGGGGAGAATTCTCTCCCAATTCAAAGACCCTTCACCTTCACCTTCATACCTCACTTGCTATAACCTCTCATTCACACGCATCCATCCATGCCTATAATTCGAAGCCTAATCCACAACATGTGATCCAGGTCCCACCGCGTGGTTGAGGACGGTTCCTTAATGGAGGAGCCTGTTACCAATGGCTTGAAGCAGAGGTCTTGGGTCCACGTGCCTCAGGAGCTTCTCTGGGAGGTTTTGCTTCAAGTTGAGAGCTCTTGGCCGTTGCGCAAGAGTGTGGTGGCCTGTGCTGGAGTATGCCGAAGCCGGAGGGAGATCGTCAAGCCACCTGAAGTTTCCACCAAGATCACGTTCTCGATCTCCGTCACGCAGGTTTGTTCACAATGCTGTCAACTAAGGATTTGAAATCACGTTCTCGATCTCCGTCACGCAGGTTTGTTCACGCCCTCCGAGGAAGGGATTTTTTTTTTTTTTTTGTTAGCATCGTTGAGTACTGACATTGTTCATAGTTGATTATTGATCTTTCATGGCTGCCTGTGTTGATGGAAGCTAGGCTTTGATTGGCCATGTATTGTTTGTTGTGAACAACAATGTACTCATTTTTGGGTAGATACTGTGTCCAGTGATGGGAGGTGGAGTAATCAAGAAATTTTTGTTCAAGTTTTGAGGTGCCATTTTAACTTTTAAATGCGTGTGAGCCCTCCCATTTGAGTGTTTAATCTCTTGGTCAAATATTTATTTTTGGAGCCTTGTCCTGTCTGTTTCAGATGGGTGTAGCCTGTAAGGTTACTTAATCCTCCTCATCCTATTTTTCTTGTGGAATCCAACTTCTCTTGTCACCCCTTTTCCCCTGCTTGTCCTCTGCCTTCATTTCCCAGTCAAATGGGAATCAATCCAAAACTGGAACACCTGTCCGCCTCCTTTGGGATTAAAACTAAAGGATTTTCATGCTGTAAGTTTTTCCATGCTCAATTATTTAAAATTGACTTGATATAGTAAAGTGGATTGTAGGTCATTCTTCGCAAGACATACCTAAAACAGAATATAAGATTATTAAATTAAAATGCAATTAATGCAATCCAAATGCAAATATGGAAAATATGCACTACGCTAAATGGGTGTTTATGCTTGTGTTGAGCACCTCAATGCCTATATGCAATGCATGAGTTATGTGTTGTTTATAATTTGGGAGGTTTTGTTTGGAACTAAATTTTGTTTGGTCTAATAAAAGATAAAACTAAATACGCTACACTAACACAAATAGGAATGTTAGTGAAGGTCACTCAATCGACAATAGCATTGCATATATTTAGACGTGGGTCGTGTGACATTTAATTTCATTTATAGTTTGTGTAACATTCTCAAGTAAATAAATGGGCCAATTAGGTATAGGTGTGCAACATTTAATTTCGTGTCACTTATAAAAATTTTAGGCCCATGAAATAAAAGTCTAAAACACGTAGAACATGCATACGTGGCACCATTTTAAGAGGAGAGAGGAAAATTGAAATAATGCAGAAAGAAATAAAAGACCACTTCTCATTCATTAAGCATTGAATCAATGAATGATGTTTAGAGTGCATTTGAGAATTTAGAATTGAATGAAATAAAACAATCATTAATGAAACAAAGTGGAATGAAGCAAAGTGAAATAGAATGAAAAATTTTTTTTTCATTATTTAAAAATTTTATGATAAAAAGGAATGGCTTTACATGACCATTATTTGAGAGTGATTATAAAATAAATAGAATAAAATGAATTAGAATTTTTTTTCAATATTGCCTTTATAGATAAATTTAAAAAAAATAATAATGGCTATTAAATAATGATAATATTTGTCTAACAAATAATAATAATAATAATTAAAATTAATAGTCAAAACAAGGTATCCACGAATTATGAAAAAAAAATAACTTGGTTTCGAACATAAATCAATAAATTAGAATGCGCTATCATTATTTTTAAAAGACATCAAAACCATTACAATCTCTTTGCACATTTATGAGGGGCATCCAATCAATTTTCTTTGAGTGTCAATATTTTGTCCTATATGCATATAAGATGTCGTTAACATACCTCTTTTTAGCTACAATCCTTTTAAAAGAGCCCAAACTTCACTTTCTAACATAAAACATGCCTATTGACTCTTAAACATTTCTATGCCATACTTTAAAAAATTTTCAAAACGTTTTACAAAAACTTCAACCATCTTATTTAATGTCTTGGCAAACATTTCCATATCCAAGTCTTCATTTGTTATTTTACTATTTTTTCTTCTTTTCCTTTGACATAGTTATACCTTGAGATCTTGTTTCTAAAAAATTTCATTTTCTTCATTGTTGTTTACATCAAAGTCATGCAAGTTTGCTCTCAACGTGTTAGTTTCTTTTAATGAATCAAATTCAGTTCCAATTGGTGTAGAGTTTTTTTATTTGATCTCTTATGTGTTTCTTGCATGCTTACCACTCATCCTATCTTGATCATACAATATAAATATTTTCTCATAATATAATATTGGTTTGTTTCTCCATATAACAACTTCAAGTCTTGCTTGGACAAAAGAATATATAATTAAAGTTAATGCTTGTTTTACTAATCATTTATATTAATATTGACTAATATATTATTATCTCAATTAACTTCTCCCATGCTTTTGATTATGTAGTCCACAAATTTATGTTTGAATTCCATCTAAATTCACTCAAGCCATTCTTGAACAAGTCATAACAAGAAGTGAATTTGCTTTTCAATCATTTCATATGATCTTTTATTTTGATTTTGTCCGGTTGTCTGTCAAAAAACTTTTCTCTCATCTCTAATAAAATTTCAGCTAGTGCTTTTGATGTGAATGCCCCTCTTTGCTTATTTCTCAAATTGTGTTGATGTACATATGCATCAACAAGAGCATTTTTCATAGTATTGGTTCAAGAACATTTAACATCATTAGATGCATTTGGCACGTTACTTCGACATTTTCGCTTGAACATAGATATGTTAACAAACCAATTGATAAAAACTAATTAATCCAATGAGAATGACAATATTTATGTAATAGCAAGAATAATTTGTTGAAATTAAAATAACAATCACGTAAATTATGCAATTTAACCCCGAAAATGCCAATAATTACGAGCGTCTTGGGCATGGTGCAGTCAGCGTCTCTGTTCGTAAATTACAAAGGTGGTCCAGCTCCATTGAGCTCAGCCTACAGGAGCGTCATGCCTTATTCCCCGTCTCTGAATCTTCTCAGCCCTTTATGCTTATAAATTACAGTCCATAATTATTAATATATTTTTAATCCAATTATTTCCACTATATTTTTATTTTTTGGGATTTGGCCAAAGACTTGGAAAAAGAACAAAAAAACGAAGACTACCAGTTAGATAGCGATGGCTGATTTTTATATTTATCATGTAGTTTTACGTTTTTTTTATAAATATTATATATATTATGGAAATATAAATGTTGAGGAGTTGCGTGATATGTTTGATCACATGTATTAAGATGCCTTGCATCCATAATAAGTGGTTTATATTAGAGATAAAAAAAGATAAAAGAGTCCCCATATCTAATAATTAAAAAATAGATCAAGAATATATAAAACTTACAATATGTGTAACCAAATGATTTAAATTATTTTGATAAAGTAGATTACCATCAAGCATACCTAATATAAAAAGTTTAACATGACATTATGAGCCAATCGGTTGAGAAAATGAAAAATAGAGAGAAAAGAGAATGAAAGTTGAAAAAAATGAGATTAAAAAATAAAGAAATAAATTAAATAAACCTGAAATCTTCGAAATTAAAAAAAATTATAAGCTAAGTAAGAAGAAAATGAATAAAATGAGAAAAATAAAAATAATAGAGAGAATATTGGATATAAAAGAAATAAAGCGTCTCACATCTAGTAATAATTAAAAGATGAATTCAGAATATATAAAATTTAAAGCATGTCTAATCAGATAGTTTAAATTATTTTAATGAAATAAATTACCATAAAATATATTTAATATAAAGATTGTTTAAGCTATTTTAGTGAAATAGATTAATATAAAGTATACTTAATATAAAGAGTTTAACATTTAATTTCTTAATTTTGTTTGATCAGACTGTAAGTTTGAAAATATAGATTCACGCCAAAGTCAGAAATTGATTTATATTTGCAAGGTTCAATTTGTGTTTCACTTTTTGCAGTGTGTTCTTGCATTCAGAATATAAAGAGTAACCAAGGAAAAGAGAGAGAGAGACACACACACACATTTTCCACTCACCACCAGGAAAACGCAAAAGCACTAACGGTGTGCTTGATCTTCATTAGATTTAGTCTGTTTTTTTGACTACTTTTGCGGTCCTCTTCCACTTCCAGTGCTTTGCCCATTGACCCCATCAGTCTGATCAAACTATAGACCACGGCAAGCTCAAGCTGTCATTGGCCGCCGCTAACCCACCACTAGGAAGTTATCGCCATCGATCAGGCTATCAAGTCATCTTTATTTGGTTAGACATATCTAATTAAATGATTTAAGTTATTTTTTTTATTTTTATTTTTTGTCAGCCCTTTTAAATTTTTTATTTGATTTGGTGCTTAGCGTTCGTCCACCGTGGCTTTGAATAAAAACTAAAAAGTATGAAGCAATTACCATCAACGAACAAAGACTATTCTTTCGGGCTTGGAAGGCACGTTACGGACTCTTTTTTTGTAGGGACGCCGTAGACTTGAAGAGTCGCGCCTTCGTCAGAAATTTCAGTTCTATTCACACACAGAAAATAAAATAGGCTGAGGAATTCTCACCCCACTGCCTCACAAGCAAACAAGACAAGTTATTCTTTTTTACTTTTATCAAAAGACAAATTTTTATTCATTACCCCCACATTATAATACAACACATATTTAAAAAGTTATCCATAAAGCTTTCTTTTTCCTGACTTTAATTACTATTTTATGTATCATGTGCGTGGACAACATGACTGGATGAAACATGCATGCATCTGTATCATGCATGCGCACCACTTAAACCTATTTAATTAAGAAACCAAGCAGACTATATATGGTAAATTATTAAAAAAATATATTCGGCATGCTAGTTAATAAAATAATCATTTTTAAAAAATGTTGACTAGACCTTGCTTTTAAGCCTTCTTACCACGAGCATGGGCGACTCTGGATCAGGACCTTCCACGTAAAAAATCTTTTGTATTTAAAGAAAAAAGAAAAAAAAAATCCACTGCACTTTAATTTCTAGTTAGTTTCTACAAGGATGTGTCGGCAGAAGAGAATTTGCAAACTCATGGGTATGGTGAGGGTATTTTTTTTCAAAGAAAGTTGAATATTGTGGGCCAATTCAATGCATTTCTTTTTCTCCCCGGTTACACGTTGTAACAGTGGAAGGGACCATTGAGAGTTTTAAATGTGTATTTGATTTTTAATTTCTTAAAAGCCAGTTTAATAAAAATTTATTTAATAAAATTTAATTTAATAAAAATCAGTTGTTATAAAGAAATTTATATTTAAATACTTTTTTTAAAAGGTAGTTTGATAAACTAAAATTTATTTAAATTAATAAAAATTTATATTTTTAAAATATACTTTTGAATATGTAATGATCAAAAGGAATGTTGATTTATAATAATTTATAATTTTTATTATACCAATATT